CTGTACAAAAGGAGGCACTGAGGAAACATGACTCTGACAGGTCAAAATTTGCAGGTTTAAAATGTCCTTGTTCCTTTACATACATTGGGGGGGGGGAGAGTCTTTGTATTCCCTTCAAATGTACTTTGATCCTTCCATGGCCACTCCACCCAGATATATAATTATAATAGGAATAGCATTTCCTTGCATTGATAATCTTATTAGATGCCTACTACTCATCAGGACCTTAAAAGAAGGGACTGTGACCTAATTCCATTTTCAAAGCAAGCTGTTACGTAAAGTGCTTTGATGTGACAGAAGAACGTGTATGCATATTTTTACAAGACTGCATGTATTTACTGTTAATGATGACGCTGTTCTGGGGTGGCAAAACCTATATTAAGATCTCCTTTTTGGAAAAAGGGAACAGAGGGTTACAAGGGACAATGAACATCCTTCCCTTGATGATGACCGCAGAGCCTTCTGTGAACCAGGGTGATCCCCATCTTAACTGACCCAGAGGTATGCACACATCCTGCTTAGAGCTGGACTTGCTTTTTCTCTTTAACTATGACCAGAGCTGCCAAATTCCACTGCATAACCAAGAATGCTACTACCTAGCTGGCAGCTTCCCTCATTTTTATTTCATGGTGCTGTCCTTCATTAGCAATGGCAGGAGTGAGGGCTGGTTGCTCCCTGGCCCTGAAGCAGATGGAAACAAAAGCAAGCAGCACAGCAAAGCTTCTCCTATTAGACACCAGCTACTGCTTCAGGCCTCCCCGAACAAGAAAAACTGACCCGTTGCCTACTTTGCACAACTGCATTTAAAAACTGACTATAGTTTTGCAATACTCACTGTAACTTTCCTTTACTCTAATTTCATATTTAAGAAAGTAGTATGTAAGCTGATTCCATTGTTTCAGGTTAAATGCCCAAAAGAAGAACTCCTCGCTGACCCATTCACTTTTACAAAAACCATACCTAACACTGTTATGCCATTGTTAAAGTAAACGTTACAGTTTTACAATAACGGATCTGTTCTATAATTAGCCCGTTCTGTCCTATAATTACCCTAAGCACCCTATATTGACAATCATAAAATATTGTTTGTGGTTGTACTAAAGTTTTAACAGTAATTGACCTACACTGACCTATGTAGCCGTGACACTCTTTATAACACTAGGTATGGTGCCCTAAGGTACGGAATGTCACATCTATGCTGTCAAAATACTAGATTTTGGGGGACAATATTTATATACCATAAAGGGTCTCAAAGCAGGTAAAACTGGACAATTAACACATCCTAAAATGTCTTAGTGCTAAAAAATTTATGGAAGCTTTCCCCCCTGCTCTTTCTTGAGCGAATTGTTCTTCCAGATTTGTAGGCCCTCTGGGCAGATGGCATCAGCAGCTCCTGGTCTAACAGAGACAGTGGCTGTTGAATGTGCCATAAGGGCAGTGATGTAAAAAGTCCTTCCTTTTTTCACTGCTTTTCCTGGCTTGCAGAATCCACAAACAGATACCCCCTGCAAATGCGTTACTGAGCAATGCAAAACGTAGGTGTCCAAAGGTGACCTTCTTCCCTGACTGCTGTGAGCAGTTCTTGCTTCTCCAGGAACGCTATTACAAAGCTCTGCGTGATATGTCTAAAGTTGCACTTTTTTTTCTGACTAAATCTCATCATTAATTAACAGCAGACTGACTTGAAGTTGCCCAAAAGTACATGAAGATGCGGAACCCCTATTACACTTTATACTGTACAAACACTACATTCTCCAGCTCAGTGTAGTGGTTAACAGAGTGACGCTGGATGCCTCCCTTTCTATGGAGGCCCAGGTTACTAATGTTGCCAGATCAGCCTTTTACCACCTTCGGCTGGTTAGGCAGCTGGTCCCTTACCTCTCCTCCCATGACATGGTGACAGTGATTCATGCAATGGTCACCTCCAGACTTGATTACTGCAACTCACTCCACGCAGGCCTGCCCTTAAACCTGACCCGGAAGCTTCAGCTGGTACAAAATGCAGTGGCACGCCTGCTGACTGGGATGCCTGTGCGGTTGCACATTCAGCCAGTGCTGTGCCAGCTGCATTGGTTGCCAGCTGAGTACCGAGTTCTGGTATTGACCTTCAAGGCCCTATGTGGCCAAGGACCAGGATACCTGCGGGACTGTTTCTCCCCATATGTGTCCCAAAGAGCCTTGCGCTTTTCAGACTAACACTGTTTAACAGTCCCCAGCCCAAAAGATGTCCACTTTGCCTCAGCCAGGACTTTTTCAACTCTGGCCCCAGCCTGGTGAAACATGCTCCTGATTTCAGTCAGGGCCCCGAGGGACTTATTGCAGTTCCACAGGGCTGTTCCGCCAGGCCTTTGCCTGAGGCAGAGGATGTCCAAGAACATCAGCCTCCCCTGCTTCAAGTGACCTCTGGCGCCTTTACATCACGGGCGCCAGGAGGGACTGACTTATCCTAGTCAGAGCCTACTACCGACTTCTCTGGCATGAGCCCAGCTTGCATTGAAATAAATGATTCGCCGAGCAGCCACTAGGTTATTTTAAATCAGTAATTTCAATTTTAATTATTAGTAATAATGTTTTAGTGAATTGATTTAGTTAATATAATGTATGTTCTGTTGGATGTCATGGATGTCATAGATTGTGAGCTGCCTTGAGCCCGCTTGCGGGGAAGGGTGGGATTAAAATCCCAAAATAAATAAAGTATTGCACTAGGATCTGGGAGAGCCAGGTCTCAACTTCCACTGTGCCATGAAACTCACTGGGTGACCCTGGACCAGTCACTCACTTTTTCTCAACCTAAATGGCCTCAAAGGGTTGTTGGGAGGTAAAATGGAGTAAGATCGATGTATGACACCCTGAGCTCCTTCAAAGAAGGGCAGGATAAGAATGTGCTAAATAAAGCCTGAAAAAGAGCAAAGGCCCATCTCAGCTATATCCCTGGTTCCTCAGGAGCTCTGTCCATCTGGGTGTGAAGAAACATGTGAGAGGCAAGCAGCTAGAAAAGGCCGCAAGACTGACGCAACTTGCCCTAGCCTTTGCTGGTGTTGCAAAGTCTCCCAATAAGGTTCTGTTGAATCCTCAGAAAAAGTTCATCTTTTCCCTCTTTGTAAATGAGTCCACTGGGAAGTCACCAAACTGCCAAACGTGCTAAGGAATTCCTGTGTAGAATTTGGTCTCTGGGAGTGATTTACTCACTCAAGTCAAGACAAGCCCCCACCCCCACCCAAATCAAAAAAACCTGTCCCTCTGTAGACATTAATTTACAATACAAATCTTGCTAGGCTTTCTCATCACCACGGGCTGCCATTGGAGAGCTACACTTCCATTCGTCTGTACGCTGCATTGTTCTGACACTTCTATAGCAGCGCCTGAGATGTCACCTCATTTTGTTTACACACACATACTCTTCTCTCTACACTTAGCAGCATGTATGCCTACCCACCCAGGTGACCACTGCATGCATCTGATGAAAGGAGCTCTGGGCCGTGAAAGCTGGTGCCACAAAGAATTGTTAAGTCTTACATGTGCCACAAGACATACTTTGTTGTTTTCAGTGATGATGAACCTTCTTGAGGAAAAAATTAACCCATAAGCAGAAACACCCAAATCTGCTACAAATGCAAATCTGCTACAAATTTCAACCAAATTTCAACAAATGCAAATCTGCTACAAATTTCAACCTCATTTACAATGACCTAATTTGGGTCCATCAGGTAAGAAGAAGAGGAGAAGGAGATTGGATTTATACCCCACCCTTCACTACCCGAAGGAGTCTCAGAGTGGCTTACAATCCCTTTCCCTTCCCCTCCCTACAACGTAGGTGGGGCTGAGAGAGCGCTGAGAGGACTGCCCTTGAGAGAACAGCTCTGAAAGAACTTATGACTGACCCAAGGACACACCAGTAAGATTCAATACTTTCCCTCTAAAGACTCACCATTCATCTTTGTTTAAAAAGGTAAAGGTTCCCTTGCTTGAAAGCCAGTCGAGCCTGACTCTAGGGTTGCGGTGCTCATCTCCGTTTCAAAGCCGAAGAGCCGGCGCTGTCCGAAGACATTTCCGTGGTCATGTGGCCAGCATGACTAAACACCAAGGCGCACAGAACGCTGTTACCTTCCCACCGAAGTGGTACCTATTTATCTACTTGCAATTTCTTGCTTTCAAACTGCTAGGTTGGCAGGAGCTGGAACTAGAGACGGGAGCTCACTCTGTTATGCGGCAACTCGGGTCTTGAACTGCTGAACTACTGACCTTCCACAGCCTGCAGCTCAGCGTCTTAACCACTTGAGCCACCGCAGCTCCTCTTTGTTTAAAACATCTTTGTTTAAAAGATCTTTATTTCCCAGATGGACTCATGCAAAGCTGTTTTTAATTTGTCCTCTAGTGCATCTCTAGTGCAAGGAGAACAGGGTGGGAAAAGGCACCTGTTTCAACCCTTGGTACTTTCCAGGAATCAGGCCTCATTAGAAGCAATTACCATCAAGTCATATAGGAGATCATCCATCAATGCATCAAGCTAGTTTCTTAATTCTCACAACTGTTCCGGTTAAAACTGTTATTGGATAGTTTTACACCTTTCATTGCTATCAACCTCCTTCTGATTCTCATCTGCTAGTGGTCCAGTTCATACACATTACATCTTGTACACCAAAAATCTTTTAACCTATATCACTCCTTGTTGATGAGCAGTTGGGAGTTTAAAAAACAGCTTTGAGAGGCAAATGATTCGGAGAGGAGCAGCAGATGGGGGTGGCTACAGCAACATTGCCATTTCTCTGTTCAAAATGGTCCCCTTCTGAAAGGGCTTCTCTTGAAAAGATAGGATTTAAGAACTATATACAGGGCCCTGTCTTCCTTTGAAGGGCAGAATAAGAATGTGACAGATAAACCAATGAAAAAAAGTAGCCATTTAAGTTTAGTAAAATGTATTTGTGAGTGGCCCGTGGTTTGAGAGAGCAAATACATTCATAAATTGACTCTGGGGCAAAATGCTGCAAACCAGCCATTACCTCGCAGTTGAACTCCATCTCTGCGTCCATGGTCATAATCCGCACCGTGAAGGTTTTCGGCTGCTTTCTCTTCAGAGAGCTGAAACTCATCCGAGATGCTATGGCACCAGCCATGGCAAAAGGCCTGAAAAGCCAACTAAGCTAAAAAGGGCACAATCAAACCTTGCTGCACCACAGAACAAGAGGCTGCAACAGGCAGGAAACCTAAGATCCCAGTTTGGCCCCTTCTGGCCTTCCGTGGAGGAACAGGCTGACGACTAGTACCCCTAGCATGCCTCTTCTTTCACCCTGATATTTTTATCCCTGATGATAGGAAGTGTTGAGGTATTAAGTGGTATCCAAGTGCTGCCTCTTTTGAAGTGACAGCTGCGCAAAGCTACGTAGATAAAACTTTTGTAGGGTCAGACACACTCCCTGCTCATTATAGAGCTTCCTCAGTGCTTTAATGGGAAAACTACCTAAACAAAAAAGAGGCAAAGCATGGATGACAAGCATCCAGCCACCAGTCTGTCACAGGTGCCAAGGAGCCCTCAGTTGAGCATGACTTTGATTAAAGAGGGGCAGAAAAGGATTCTCCGTTTTATGGGGTGGAGCTTTAATATGTTAAGATCCCCTACACTTTATGTCAAGACCTGACTTTTTCAGAGGATAGGAGCTTATTTTTTGCAGGGTGGGCATTTAACTTTCAGCCAGATGACAGATATGTGGGATGGATTTGGGGGGGGGGAGCAGCAAAGGCCAAGAGGTCAACAAAAAGACACAATGAAGAAACTTGTTAGAGGAAAGCATGCACGAAGCACTGCCCTTCAGCCAGCAGAGAACGAAAGGCTTGGGGTGCCCTTTGCACAGCCCAAGGATTGCTTACAAGAGACAAAAGTGCTTTTTACTTCGATGTTGGTGTATGGGGGGGGAGGGTGTGTGTGTCCCTGTGGCAAACCAGATCAGGGGCGCGCCCTGAAAGGGAGACGAGCAAGAAAGGGCAACGGGTGGTGCTTCCTGAGAACTCGTGGCCGGGCTACTGAACCTGGGGCGAAGGAAGGGGGTTAGTGTGCCTGTCTATGGAAAGGAGGAGGAGGAGGAGGTAAAGTTTTCTTCGGGAAAACTTAAAAAAAGGGCCGTCTGGCAATATTTGAGGGGGGGGCGGAGATGAATGCCTAATGCAAACTTGAGGAAAGGGGCTCAGGGGCGCTACTTATTAGAAGGAAAGGGAGGCCTCCTTGGTGAAGGGGGGGGACAAAGGGGGGGAGTGAGAGGAATTTCTGTATAGCCAAGACATAGGGTGGGGGGGGACTCCTCGCTATGGCCCGCTAAAGGGGGAAGGACCGGAATCGCCTCGGGGGAGCGACGCCTCTAGTCTGCAGCCCCCTCCCCGGCTGAAAAACTACCCCTCACCTCGGCCATGACTGCCTAACTTGCCACTCCCGGTCGCTCTTTTCTCATTGGTTCACAGACACCGTCGGAGGCGGGTCGCACACTTTTACCACCACCTCCGAAGCATAGAAGTACAGGAACAAGCGTGGCACGCAGACTAACACTTCTGGTTTCCTACTCGAAATGCCACCAGATGAGTCCCCGTTCCCCCAAAATGTCTGTAATTTTTAAAAGGGGTTTGCATAGCAAGCCGCCTCGAGACCTTTTTTTATTTGTCACTGAAAGGCCGGTATAATTCTCCAAAGTAATTGTATTTTTTAAGGTCTTCTTATCGGCC